CACACGCGTAAAACCGGTAAAACACATGCATAAAACAACGCCACGCCACGCACCCATACATAAAAGCCATAAAAAACTCGGACATAAAGCGAACCAATAAAAAAACCCAAATGCGTTTTTTGTACATTAGTTAGCTTTTGTATGTTTTTTTTATATAAATTTATTTACTATAATTTTTTTTCTATAATTTTTTGTTTTTTATATAATTTTGGTTTTCTATAATTTTTTTTATATAATTTTGTTTTTCTATAATTTTGTTTTATATACTATTCTATACAAAGTATATAATAGTATAGAAAAAAAATTATATAAAACAAAATTATAGAAAAAATTATATAAAACAAAATTATAGAAACCAAAAATTATATAAAAAACCAAACAATTATAGAAAATATAAATTGTGTATAAAAAAAACAAGGTACAAAAAACACACGCCTTAGTTTAGTGTTTTTTTATGTGTTCGTTCGTGTTTTCTACGTTTTATTCATTTTATATGTAATATAAAATGAATAAAACGTAGAAAACACGGAAAAAACATAAAAACAAAAACGGTACAAAAAACGCGACAAAAACGACGAGCTCACTCTCACTCATAACGCCGAACGCCGAGGGTGTATGGTAGCGTGTTTTGTACCGTATTATATACGGTATAAACCGTATATAATACGGTACAAAACACGCTAGGACCGTCCAAACACGCGGGGGGAGAGGCGCAGTAGGCAGGCCGCTAATAATGAGTAGCTAGGATATGCGCATGCAGAGTTACATACGCCGTAAATAAATTGTAAGTACGTATTACCATTAGCCGATCGCCGGCACGCGTAACAGTCCCCGAGAGGAGCCCAACAAGAATCTCCCTTAGTACAGGTGCAAGAGAAGGCATAGTATGTTTTGTATAATTAAGCGAACCTCTTAGTCTAATGGATGCTAAATTAATAGCGAGGAGGGGGGATGAATTTATATAAATAAAATTATAGCTAGCTACCCCTGCGAGTATCGCACTAGGGGTCTGTGTAAAAGCATTGGCGCAGAGTGCCCTCGGCACTTTACCCGTCATTTAATTGCATAGCTACCAAGGCGCCGGGCAG